TCTCCCTCTTCCCATATGCAGCTGCCCAAGGTCGGACTCTAACTGGGACACCCACCCGGCCAGCCCCTACTGTGGAGCGTAGCTCCTCCATCTCGGACTGGATGGTTTTCATATTTTTATTCGCTTCCTCATGTACGTGGGTCACCCTGTCACCTACTTGCGTCACCTGGCCGGCTATATCCCTTATGCCCGTCTGTATCCCTGCTACCCGTCCCGGGGTTGTCTCGCGGGGTCCTGGAGGCTCCCTTGCCCGACCCTTTACCGTACTGGCGCGCTCCTCCTCCTCCCTCCTCGTCCCCCCTCCTCCCCCCTCCTCCTCCTCTCCTCCTCCCTCCTCCCTCCTCCTCCTCCCTCCTCCTCTCCCCCCCCCCCGGGAACAGGCTTGCGATGGCACGCTCTCGTCCCAGCCCTCGAAGATGCGCGCGCTCACTGGCCAGCTCCTCGCACTCGAGTGCGCGCTTGACGAGGCTATTAAAGGGAGGCTCATACCACTCACTTTAGGCTGCCACCACGCGGTGCGGGCTAAATATCGGAGGATTTTGTCAGCGGCCAGCTCGCCAATCGCCTCTGTTACGAACTCTGGGCGGGCGATCCGTGTTAGCGATCACACGTCTTCAGCGTAATCGCGAAAATCCTCGCCGGGTTGGTGGTGGCGCGCCTCTAAGGCCGTCTTGGCCTGTCTCACATTACGCATGCCAAAACAGGTGGAGTTGGTGCATCAACTCTTCCAACTGGGTTTGGGTGCTTGCGGGTAGTGCCTCGACAAAATCAGCTGTCCGCCCATCTAGATTAATAGTGAATTGTCGTAACGCCTGCGCGTCTGTCCAACCATTGAGCTCTTTAGCCCCTATGATGTTACGGGAAAACGCTTTCCATGAAGGGGTCCCTGAGCCTGTAAACACATATCTTATTTTCGTGTGGAGTACCGCATTTCTCTCCCGTGGGGCTGTGGGGGTTTGTACCACGTCTGACACCAAATTGTCGGGGCCGCTGCCCCCCGACTCCTCCGTCGTGATCGAGCTACTGCTCCCCGACTGCTCTGTCGGGTGCGGGCTACCGCCCCCCAATTCCTCGCTCCCCTGTACCCCCGACTTTGCTGCTGCCCGCGTATTCATGATTCAATCAGTAGAACTGACCGCTTTACGCCTACGACGCGCTACGCGGGTTCAGGGGCGGACGTGCTGCGGTGAGCGCGCCCACGGAGTGAAACCCCATCTCGTGCGCAAACAAAGGAATCACAACGTGCAGGCTCGCAACTCAACAGGCGCGATGAGCGCACACGCACGAGTAAAATTACACACCCGTGCGTAAACACAGAAACCACAGCGTGCAGGCTCGCCACACCACGCACTACCCTTCGCACTCACAGAGACAACACGACACGGTTTATACTCTATGGACGATTTATTCTCCACGAATAAACAAACTAGACTGTGCGTGTCAGTACGGACCAGCAGAACAGGTCTAACCTATCTCTCTACTGCCTGATACTTAATCGGCCTGTCCGCTCTCTATTTTCTCTCAGAATTTCGCCCCTTAGTCTTACCTCTCTTCCTTGTACTTACGGTCCGACCTCGCAGCGATGGAGGTCGCGGAAAGATGATGCTCTAAACGGAATCTGGCTGTTCTCTGCCCCGTCTCACGGACGTGCGAGTAACAGTGAGGTGACGGCTCCTCGATCCCTCCCTCCTGTTGATCGCCAGAAAAAACGGCCCCGTGCTTCCCCAAAGCATCGCTTTTTATGCTCCCTTCAAAGCCCTCGCACCACCGTCCCGTTGGCCTCTTATCCAATTCGATCACCTCCCCTCTCTGACTCTCCGCCCCCCCATTGTTTAACCAAGTGCAACGACTCAAAAAGCGAGCCGGTGCCGCATCATCGCCGCCAATCCGCGGTGCATCACGGGTAGAGCCGTTAATCCGTGGTGCATCACGGGTAGAGACGTTAATCCACGGTGCATCATGGGTAGGGACGTTAATCCGCGGTGCATCACGGGTAGAGACGCTTAACCCGTGCTGCCCCTCTCTCCACCTGTCTGATGGTCTGCGTGTGTCCTGGGCATGTCCTCACTGCAGTTCTCAGTGAGTTCGCCATGGTCATTTAATTTTAAGTTAAGCCACGGCGCCGCAGTGCCATTTGGCCTGGGGGGGGCTGCCAATTCCCTGACCCTGAGAAACCGTGGAGCACCCCCACGAGGGGGCCTCTCGGGTAAAAACTCAGGGCAGGTGCCCCCCCTCCCCACGAGGCCCTACGTGAGTGTGTGTGTGTGTGCTTATGGGGGGGGGGGGGGGGGATGGCGGGGAGAGCGCTGTGACGGGAGCCGGGTGGCTTCTCGGTCGCAGCAGCACAGTGACGGCCCCGGTTTCGACGGAGCGGCTTTGCCGTTGTGGCACCACACAGCACTACCCATAGGTTCAGCAGCACTGCCCATAGACTCAGCACTGCCCATAGACACAATGCTGCCCAAAGACTCAACACAGCCCATAGTCTCAACACTGTTCATAGACTCTACACTGCCCCTGTACATGAAGCAGCCTCACTTCTTACCCTCTTTCTTTCTCTATAGTAAAGCCTGACCTCTTCTCCATTACCCAATCTCGTTGTCACGGATACAATATTACGTGGTTCACAGTGATGTTCAATGATGGTACAGTATGTGAAGCTGTGTTGGGATGCTGGAGAGACGAGCCTACAAGTCTGACTCGACTGATTCTGGTTCATTTGAAACTGAAATTATCTGGATGTAGCTAGGGGCTGGATGGCCAAAACCCATTGGCACCTTCCAGTATGCAAGGGGGTTGACTGTTAGAGCAGCAACAGCAAAAGAAGCAGCACCAGCGGGAGAAGCAGCACCAATAGCAGTGAGCTGAGCGAGCAAGGCAGCTAGCTCACCCTGGGGTGGAAGCAAAGACCCCAATGCCTGGTGTGAGGATCACAAGGGAGAAAGCAGGACTCAAGATCCAGCATACTATAGGCCTCCTGGACTGATGCCAAAAACCGCGGTGCTGGTTTCCCACTCCCGTGGATTGATTGTGGTACGGTTATTCAGGGATGTCCGCGGATTGTCTACAGTGGATGTGGACAGTGGTGTTGTTTTTGGTGCTGTGTGTGAAATGGTGAAACGCATAACGTCCACCACTACTGAGGCTGTGCGTGTGTCGGGCTTACGCAAAGTCATAGGCGTGAGTGGGTTTAGATAGAACCGTGTGTCTGTGTTGAATTGTGTGTTCTGGGGTGTCGGGCCGTGTTGGTGGGCCTACACACATCTCACCCTACTGTCTGTAACCTGGCAAAGCACAGAAGTAAAATTGCTTCCGCTTAAAATCCTGGTCCATGGGTGTCGCTGCTTATTCCATTGTGGAGCCGACCGGCCTGCAAAATAGTTCACCATGGTGGAGGTAATCATGTAGTGATGCTGAGTTGGTTACACACCGTCACACTCTTCCTCTTCCCTACCCCTACCCTTTCGTAATCTAAGTATCCCCTATCGCAGTCCCATTCCTCAGCCTTTACACGTCTGCCATCCATATTGTATTATGTACCTTTTTATTTAACTATGTTAAGCACATTGAGAAAAGGTATGTTATAAATATAAAACAAGTTGTTGAGATTAGCACCGCTGTTGACAGACGCAGCGAGGCTCGCCGAGGCAGCACTGAGCCACCGCTCGCTCGTGGATGGCGACGCCACTGCCCTAGGTCGCAATCTTCTCATAATGTATCTGTCACTTTCAGAAGGGAAATCTGCGTAAATTGTCCTTCAACAAGTAAAGCCTCAATGAGTCACTTTTCAAATATTGTTTTGGGATGTTCAGCCAATTCCTCTTAAGTAGTGTTTTTGAATGTGCAAGAAACCCAACCACAATCCTGCAGCAGCTCTTTTCATTTCAGACTGTTGAGGACACCTGCGGTGCCCATGGAGGCCACCTGCTTTGAGTGGTGAGTCCTGGCTGTGCACCGTGCCAGGCTCATTATTCGTGGCCAATGTTTTGGACAAACTTCATGAACCCTGTGGACCTGTTTTAGACTGAACTTAAGAGTGGAACTTAGACTGGAGGGACTTTTTCAACTGCAACTCCGACGTCCTTTCTGGACTGTCTGGAAAGGACGCCAGGATTTGTTGGTGCGCAACTGTTCTGATATTCGCGTCTTTAAGGGTCACGATTATTTGGGCATGATAGGTGAATTCAACTTTGTTAGGGACAACCTACGTCATCTCTGCGTGACGGTGGGGCTCATGAGTTTGTGTAATTGGAGGGTAGGTGATTGTGAGAGCAGCTGTGTGGACAACAAGAGGGAATTTTGTTAGGTCCAAGAAGACCAACCTTCACAGAAGTGTATTGACAATGAGATGAGTTGACAGATTAGTTGAGATGAGGTAAATTGAGATGAGGTGAGCTGAGTCTTTATTTAGCTACTTCTGGCACCGAGACGTCTCTGCCTGGTCAAAAGTCAACACATTACAGGGTGCGCCTCATATATGCAAATCAAACTAAAGAGTTTGTACTTTAACCTACCTTCACATTTACGTAGCTTGTTCTTAGTTTAGTGTCTCAGATGTCGCCAGAGACTGCCTGAGCTACAGCCATTGACTGTCTGTGCTACAGCCAGAGACTGCCTGAACAACAGCCAGTGACTGCCTGAGCTACAGCCAGCGCCTATCTCCTGGTGGAGCCACAGGGCCATGGCGAGTGTGGCTCCCAGCGATAGCGAGGCTCCAGGGGAGTTGACCTGCCCCATCTGCCTGGACGCCTTCCGCTGCCCCTGCACGCTCAGCTGCGGCCACTCGTTCTGCCTCAAGTGCGTGGAGGGCGCCTGGGATGCGGCTGAGTCCTTCTCCTGCCCACAGTGCCGAGTGACCTTCCCTCAGAGGCCCCAGCTGAACAAGAGCGTGACGCTCGCCAACCTGGTGGAGCAGCGCAGTGCTGCAGAGAAAATGGCCACCATGGTCTTGTGTGACTTCTGCAACGATGGCACGACCGCTGCCTCGAAGACCTGCCTCAGGTGTGACATGTCCTACTGTGTGACTCATGTAAAGCCTCATCAGGAGAACCCGAAGTTAAGGAGCCACATTCTGGTGGATCCAGACACGAATCCTGAAGACCGCAAATGCAAGCCACACAGAAAGAGGATCAAGTTTTACTGCCGACAGGACGAGAGCTTGGTCTGCACAACCTGCATCATCGCAGGAGACCACAAGGGTCACGATGTGGCTACGCTGGAGGACGAGCACAAGACGCGGGAGGTGAGACGGTCTGCGTGTGTGAGCAGGAGCCCCTCCTGCGTGAAGTCATCATGTCCCAGTACAAACTGAACAATAATATCCAAATAAATATTATATCATTCCTTTCTCAGCTTTCCATTGTTTCTTCAAATTTTAACAACCTTGATTTATTATAAAGTATGCTGAGGTTGTCAGTGCAGAAATAATACAAAAACATGTCATTATCAATCCTGTTATCTGACAAATGTATAAATGTGCTCTTAGTATATTTTATAAAACTGAAGGACTTTAATTTTCGATTTAAAGCTGTCGTGACTGCAAGGATTCATCTTCTTTGGTTCTTTCGGTAAAGTCACGTAGAATGAGAATAAAATAATAAATTGATAAAATAAAATAACACAATAATATTTTATTTTATCAATTAATTATTTTATTCTCATTCTACGTGACTTTACCAAAAGAACCAAAGAAGCTGAAGGACTTTAATGCGTACAATGTTTTCTCAAAATGGCGTGGGTACACAGACTGTGGTTTGTATACAAAAAAAGTGGTTTGTGGAATAGAAGAGCATTCCCCAAAATGTAAACGAAATGCGAAACGACTGGGACTGCGTGAGCCGCAGTGCTCACCGCTTGGTAGCCTCGTGCCGGTCTGTCTCAGTTTATCGCCGCACCCTACAGCAGCCACCGGGTCCCTGGACTTGGCGTTCCAGAAATGTCGCTTGATTTTTACGGACCAAGTTATTCGTGAATGCATTTATATTTTCATTAATATTCTCTCTACCGAATTTCTCTGACGCTCAACAGTCACATAGCAGCGGTTCCTTGTGCCATGTAAAACTAAACTAAAACTTTTTTTATTTCACCAAGTGAAGCTCACTGAGCTATGTAGCTCTTTTTCACAGGCAAACGTGGCCACAAATGACAGTGCAACGAAGTGGCTTATCAGATCTAAATATATAGCAGCCAAATGCTCTAAACGCACTTTCAAAAACGTGGACAGAAAAAACTGGAGGACCGAGAGGAAGATCCATGCGACCATGGAGAGAGACATGTAAACTGCATAAACAGGCATCAGGCACGGGTTCGAACCCACATCCTCCTGTATTGCAGGCAAGGCAGATAACATCTCGCCGCTGCGGTGCCCTGTCCACCCACTACTCATATAGCCCCGCCCACGACTCGGATAACCCCGCCCACCACTCGGGTAACTCCCGCTCATTACTCGGGTAGCCCGGCCCACTTCTCCTGTAGCCCCGTCCACTGCTTAGTTAGCCCTGCATACTGCTCAAGTAGCCCCACCCACTACTCAGGTAGCCCCACTCACTCTACAGGTAGCTCTGCCCACTGCTCAGATAGCTCCACTCACTGCTCAGGCAGCCCTACCCATTACTTAGGTAGACTTGCGCAGGTTTGAGCTCCTCGTGAAATCAGTTCCCTGCAGCGCTTGCTCCCCAAGCCTCCATCGCTGCACCGGGGCTCCTGTCCCCATCACTGTGGAGGGGTCTGTGTGGAGTGGGGGTGAGAGGGGATGCTCAGAGAGTGAGTGGAGTCTCCCCTGGTGACGTCTCTCACAGAAACAAGTGGGAGAGGAGACGTGGGCGGTGGAGCAGAAGAGGAGAGAGGCGGAGGAGTCCGTTAGGCGGATGGAGGCCGCTCGCAGGGACGTGCAGGTACCGTGTCTGGGCCAGACTCGGTGACCCCATGACTCCACCCTGAGTAGGGTTTGTGATGGAGGACAACTCTATTCATTCAAGTGGACTTCCATTGGTTCTAAACACATTGTGGGACTTAAAACACAACGGTTAATGCACCTCAATAATCAGGACGAGCAACGAGGTGGTTCTCGTCTCCACTGAGAAACTCAATCAGTGGTGGAAATTCCACATTCCCATATCTTCATACAACTTACCACTTCAACGTCTGTTATCTATATTGTTCAGATGAGGTGGTACGTACCTCTTATCCAATACTCTGGTGTCAGAGTTGGCGGATCACACGTAGAATATTGTACACTCTTTTAGTGAAACCAATTAGACATTAGAGTGGCCAGGTGCCAGTATGGCAAGTGGTTTCATGATCCCCTCTTTTCATCCATACATATGTGGTTTCTCTCACATTCAAAATATTCATTTGAAGAGGAATTGGCCTAACTTAAAAATTCCTTAGGGCTCTACTTGTTCTAGGCAAATTCCAGATTTATCTTCGCTTCATGGGAAGGCAAAGCATCATCCTGATAGCCTTGCGCAATGAGAATGGCACAGACCCTAAATGTACTCCTGATGGTATTTGATTATTCCAATGCCTCATAGCCCCCGAATCGTGTTGTACTGACAATGCACAGTAGCGCTATCACAGGAAGAAGGAGGCCTCAGTGCTGCAGACTCGTATCACTGTCCGGACACCTGAATGTAATTTCACAAAGGACCAGACATTTAATGAACAGAGGTGACATTTCTTTCTCTTTGCAGGGATCCATGACAGATGAAAAGGCTTCCATCTCGGTCAGATTCGCCAGCGCGAGAGCAGCGTTGGATGCGGAGGAGAAGGCGGCGTTAGAGCAACTGGAGCAGAAAGGACGCAAGCTGCTGTTCCAGATCGAGAAGAAAATCGCTCACTACCAGCGCGAGATCAGCGAGCTCCAGGCAGCAGCTACACGCCTGCAGGCCCTAGCGCAGGAGAGGGACTCGTTCGCGTTCCTGCAGGTGAGCGATGAGTCTCCAGTGTCGCTATTGGCACAGAGCCCTCTCACCAGCAGCAGCAGCAGCAGAGGGAGGCTACTGAATGAGAGCTCGCATCCACTGGGCTTGAGAACACAGCTCCACTCATGGACTCGCATCGCAGCTCCAGTGGCTGCCATTTGGAAGCCCAGCTCATATTTTCTCAGTTAAATTAATTCTCTCTTCCGTCCTTTAACAGATTCCCATTAAGTTTGTTTCATTGTGAATATAAATAAATGTTATTGGAATTGCACTTTTTAAATCAACCATACAACAACAATGTACACGGTATTCATGATTGCCATCAGCGATAATCTATCCACTTATTGATGAAGGCCTCCCCAACCCATTGCCACATTTCATGATGCCGCGATGCAACAATCCACCAGCGCCTGCTCACAAGCTGATTTCATCTCTGCTTCTTACTTTGTGTAACTCCACTTGGATGCGCGACCTCCATTGTTCATATTAGGAATGCTCAAATAAATTCGGTCTCATACACTTATTGATGATATCATTGTGTCTTGAACATCACTTCTACAAGATCTGCACCATGTGCATTGGTAACTCCAGAAACTACTAGTCCTACGTTCCTCTCAACACAGATCAATATCAACCGGTCTCACTCTGAAATATTTGCCCTGCAAATTCATGTTGGTCCTCATAGGGGTGGCGAAATGTTAACTACCTCGCCTGGTATACCGAAGGTCCGGGATTTAATCCCAACCCTGACATCCATATATATTTTGAGTTTACATTTCTCCCCTCTACATTTGGAAACGTACGTTTAGAGTATTGGGCTGCTATAAATTTCCACGAGATGACCCACTTCGTTGAGCTATCATTTGTGGCCAGGTCGCTTCTGAAAACGAGCTACATAGCTCCGTCGGCCTTCCCTGGAAAAATAAAAATAGTAGTTTATAGTTGACTATCAACCAGCCTCACTCTGAAATATTTGCCCCATAAGTCAGTGTTGGTGATCATGGGGTCATAAGCCAAGACTTTGGGGTTTATTTTCCACCCACGGTGTTGCAGTGGGAACTCCACTGATCACAAGGGATTGGAGGTAGAGTCACAGTAATGCATCTCTCTCTCTCTCTCTGCCATAGGGGCACCTGGAGGAGACGTGCAGGTAAAAGACGACTTTCACTCACGACTCGACAAACGACAATATGGGACTGAGTGTGGGGTGCGGGCAGTGAGACATTGGCTGTGTGGAGATGCTGTGTGTGGTAATGCTGTGTGTGATGATGGTTTGTGTGGTTATGGTCTATGTGGTGATGGTTTGTGTGGTGATGGTGTGCGTGATGATGCTGTGTGTGGTGATGGTGTTTGATGATGGTGTCTGTGATGATGCTGTGTGTGGTGATGCTGTGTGATGGTGCTGTATGTGATGATGCTATGTTTGGTGATAGTAAAGCTGCATGTGATAATGCTGTGTGTAATGATGGTGTATGTGGTGATGATGTGTGTGTTGATGCTGTCTGATGGTGCTGTATGTGATGATGCTAAGTGTGGTGATAGTAATGCTGTGTGGTGATGCTGTAATGGTGATGTGAGTGATGACGCTTTGTGTGATGAGTGTCTATGTAATGGAGCTGTGATGATCCTGTGAGTGACGATGCTCTGCGTGAGACTGTAGCCATGTCTGTTATGCTTTCACAGGACAGGGAGGTTTACAGCAGATCCACCCTCATGTCCTAGCCAAGAGGACATTGCCTCGCTTAAAGGCACCGAGAGAATGGTGGCCAAATTCCTGTGTGAGTTATTCACCGTGAAACATGGGTGATGGGGCCATCTTCACAATAAATGATCACCGTGTGTGTGTGTGTACGAGGTCGACTCAGCTTCAAATGCTTACCTAGTTTTGTGTTTAAACATCACCACTAGGGAGACAAAGGTGGCTAGGTGTAGTGCTGGCCACCCAGCCCCTCATGTGCTGTGCCAGCTTTCAAAGGTGCTGCTTTGCCCCGACAGTCTGTTAAGGCAACACGCGGAATATTTATCTAAATTTACATCATGGAACTTGATGCGGTGTTTCAACAAATTCGCCACTAGGGAGACAAAGGTGGTCGGGCGTGGTGCTGGCCACCCACCTTCTCGTGTGCCGTGCCGGTCTTCATAGACGCTCGCTAACAGCACTTGCCCCAATGGTCTGTTGAGGCTAAACAGGGGATCTTTGTCTTTGTTCACATCTCATTCCAGGACACGACTGAACAAAACCATGATACTCAGTGTGGTGTTCTTGTGTAAGTAATCAGCATGAGTCAGGGGTAATTGTGATGTTGAGATGTAGTGTGTGCCTGTGAATGTGTATGCGTGGGGGGAGCGGTAGCATAGTGGTTACCACACTACACTACGAACCCAGTTACCTGGGTTTGATTACTCGCCATGGCTAATATCAGTTGCAGGTGATATTCTATCCAGTCCAGGGTGTCTACTGGGCAGTTTCAACCTCAAATGAGTTCCTGATGCTGGTAATGGTCAAAATGATGGTGATAGTGGTCGTAATGAGGATAGTGGTGCATTGGCCAGTCATCTCAGTCGACCCATGGCACCTGGGTCTGCCCCATGACCTCCTGCCAGTGGGTGTTCTACACTTCACGTGGCCTCAACGTGCACATAGCCTGGCACATGCGTCGTGGTGATGTCACCGCCACTTAGTGGCGAATGGCTGTTGTTGGTAATGATGCTGATGTTGGTGATGTGAGTGATGGGAACGGTCATGGCATTGGTGAATGATGGTGTTGGTTGTGGTGATAGCAGTGATGGTCGTGGTGATGGTCATAATGGTGACATTGGTGATAATATAGGTGGTGATGGTTGTGATGGTTTTGCTGATGGCGCTGCTGGAAATAGTGATGATGATTTTGGTTATGGTGATAATGGTATTGATGGTCGTGACAATGATTTTGATGGTCGTTATGATGGTTATAATGATGCTGGTTGCGTTGGTGATGATGATGAAGATGGTGATGAGTTGGGGTGATGGGGATAGTGGTGATGGTCGAGGTGATGGTAGTGATGGTGATTATTTGTGATAGTGCTAGTGGTGGTGATGATGATGGTTGTGATGTTGTTGATAGTGATGATGTTGATGTTCATAGTGTTGATGATGATGGTGGTGATGGTTATGTATATGTTGTTGTCATCGATTATATTTATGGCAAGGTTGGTTGCTGATGGTGATGTTTGTAATGCTATTGTTGATGGTGAACATGATGGTTGGTGATGGTAATGTTGATGGTGGTGATGGTGGTGTTGGTGGATGATGGTGATGACGGTGTTCTGTAGTGATGTTGTCATCGCTGTTGTCACAGACGGACGCACACCGACTCTGGACACAAACTTAGCTCATGACCAACTCCATATCTCCTCGGATCTCAGGACGATGACACGGACTCGTGCCTCCCAGGGTCGCCCCGATCACCCACACCGGTTTGATTACTGGCCACAAGCCCTGTGCTGTGAGAGCTTCTCGTCAAGCCACCACTACTGGGAGATGGACGTGGGGGATGTGCGGTGGTGGCGGGTTGGAGTCGCGTACGGGACGATCCCGCGGAAAGGGGGTGGTGTTGCACAGCTGCTGGGAGGGAGCGACGTGTCTTGGTGTTTAGAGAAATGTGACGACAACTTCTCAGTGTTTCATGATGGAGTGAAGACTGCACTGTCGGTGAAAGGGGGCCCTACCCCCCACAGAATCGGGCTTCACCTGCACTGGGAGGGGGGGCTCCTGGCGTTTTACCGCGCTGACTCCATGGAGGTGATCCACGAGGTTCGGCAGAGATTCTTGCAGCCTCTCTACCCTGGGATGTGTGTGTGGTGTTTGAATGAACCATTGAAGATCGTGGATCTGAGTCTTGCATCCTGAGGATGGGGAGAGACAGAAACCCAAGAAACAGAGGAGAGGGGGGATGTTGAGATGGTGAAGTGAGGGTGAGGGGAAATTGGAGGGGAAGGTGGCGGGTGAGCGTGGAGGGTGATGGTGAGGGTGAAGGGTGAGGAGAGGGTTAGGAGAGGAGAGGATGGGAAGGAGTGGGTATATTGTTGGGGATGCTGACCCCCGGCTCCTCACTCGTGTGAGAGCTGCCGCTCCCCGACACCTCATCTGGGGGAGGGCTGCTGCTCTCCGACCCCTCTCCTCGCGCCGCGGCCCCTCGAGTCTGCGACCCCACCCCCTCCATATCCTCCCTGTGTGGCATAACTCGGGGCTGGCGCTTGGCCACCTGGAATTAATCCCTCGCCTTGCTCCTCGGCGCAATTAATCCCTCGCCTCCCCGCGTCCACTCCTACAAACGTTATTAGGAGACTCCCCGCACGTTGTTGCTCACACTCGCGCACATGCAGCCACTCAAATCCGGCGTCGCCGCTTTCACGGCGCCGCGCACCAATCGTATGCGCGGAACGGGGGGGTCAGGGGTCAAAGGGCAGTGACGTGACTCGCGCATGCGTTTCCACTGCAAGAATGTAATAGAGATGATTTAAAGGGCGGTGGGGAGAGTATTCGGGATTGGTTTTAGAACGAGTATTGCTGCACACTGGGGAATTAAAGAAATGCTTCAATTGCCCTCCGGCTCCTCTGCGCAATGATGAATACTGGCGACAGGATTCGCGCGCAAACTCGACACAACGGCGGATGAACGTTGGCCAGATTCGCACGACGAAACCCGGGTACAACGACGGAGGAACGTCAGCCGAATTTGCACACAATGGTCGCCCCGATATAGTTTTTCGCGCGACAATCTCCGTGTTACGACGAGCGGACTCACGCCATCATGCGCTCTCCCCACACTCGCAGAAACCACACGAGACTGTTATTGATCACTAACGGTTTATTCTCAGCGTGTCTGAGGCTAAATATTACGTAGGCCGGAGCCAATATTAGTTAGACTGGGTTGCTCGCTGACTGGAGGAGAACTGGCTTAACCGTTTCTCTTTCCCTCCCTCATTACCTCCCTCTTAAATTATTTCTGGCCAAGTTCTGTTACCCTCCCAGCAAATCGGATGCCTCTCCGTGCCCCCCATCATCGCCCCTAATACGCGCAGCCAATCAGGCGGTTACCCGTAGCTTAATCCCCTCACTTCAAAGGCCCAGGGTGGCATTGTACTGTGCAGCCAATCGGGCTATTACCCGTGCCCCCCATAGAGAGCCACTGCGTCTACTGCTGCTCCTCACCCTTTGACTACGCGCTCGTGCAGGAATTTCCCTCCTACTTGCGCATTGCCGTTGCTTTGCCATTTTAGCTCTAGCCCACTCGATAGGTGTTTTTGGCTCTCCCTACTGCCCTATTCCCCTGCGTTCAGTGTGTGCTCATCGCGGTTGCTCAGTCAGCTCGACGTGGCCATACAATTTTAAGTTAATCCACGGGGCCACAATGCAATTCGGCCTGGGGGGGTAGGCCAATCTCCTGGCACTGGGAAACCGTGGGACATCCCCACGAGGGGGCCCTCGGGTGAAAACCCAGGGAGCCAGGTGACTCCCCCACAAGGCCCTATGTGGAGGTACGTGTGTGTGTTCGTGTGGGGGGTTGCAAGGGGATAGCAGCTCCGGCAGAGTTGCTCTGTTGCTGCGGCACCACAGCTGCCCTGAGCCAACTATCATGTACTCTGTCTTGCCCAGGTTTAGCTGCATACGGTTTTGCTACATTCAAACAGCGACTTCAAACAAGCATTCTGAAATAACAGATATAGCAGCGTCCGGATATGACGTACGTTAAAACATATTTATTTAAAACTGATTTTTGTGTTTGGTTTCTTGTCCTCACCCCGCACCTCCGATTAGCACGGTTGGTTATGTACGGTGCGAAAGAAGTTCAACATACATACATATAATCTGAATCAGCATCTTTATTTATACTGCAGGAATCCAATGAGTTATGAAGCACTTTTTCAAAGATTTACAGTAGGGGCGGGTCAGAAAGTTCCAATAACAAACAGTCCAGACAACTGATCAGGGTGTAAAATATAGGAAAGGTGTGCAAATCACTGAAACTAGATCAATACTAATTAAACAAAGTATATAACTACTATTTGCAATCGTATATTACTTTATACCGATTTTTCAACACTAAATGCAAGCGTGGCCAAGGCAGCAACACAACAACAGTTCCAGATCACACCAAGACAACATGGCATTCCCTGGATACAACTGTACATGAATATTGATTTTCTGCCTTAGGGCAGGAGAGGGGGTGTGTGTACACAGGCATTTCCTGTTTGTGATGCTGAGTTTGGTCACGTGACCAGGAAGTTACGATTTGACAGCCTCTCAGCCACGAGGCAGGGGCCAGCCATTACACAGAGTTCAAAATGGTGGCACAAATAGCGTCTCCGTGAAGACAACTGTAACTGTTCATTGTGGGACTTTAAGAAGCATTGTCTGTAAGTCCGTTTATGTTCTTATAATATTGTAAATGCTGTTAGAATGTTAGAATTACCGTTGTAATGCTGTAAATGCCTTTAGAATGCTGTTAAATTGTTATAATAAATATGAGGCCTAGTTAACAACGAAGCCTGCAACTTGCCTTGTAAATGTTACTTCTAATTGAATAAGTCGATTCAGACTCGTACCCATGTAACCTTATTGCGATCTTGAGAGCACGGATGACGAAATATCTCATCCACAGTCAGTGTTATGTGCAGTGCTGTACATTTGGGGTGCATCATGGTGATCACACAATGTGCCCTTAACACAGTAGCTTATTCTCTTGTATAGCTATTCAGTACTAATGTAGGTGCCTGGTCCATCCAGGATCTATTGATGAGTTTCATGTTATCTAAGACAATGTTATGATGCTG